CGACTCTGTGCGACCCCATAGATGGCAGCCCGTCAGGCTCCGCCGTCCCTGGGACTCTCCAGGCAAGAACACTGGAGTGGGTTGCCATTTCCTTCTCCAGTGCATGAGAGTGAAACGTGAAAGGGAAGTCACGTGTCCGACTCTTCATGACCCCATGGACTGCAGCCTACCAGGCTCCCCCGTCCATGGAATTCTCCAGGCAAGAGTACTGGAGTGGGTTGCCATTGCCTTCTCCCATAATGGCATAATAATAGTCTTATAAGATAGAAGAATTGGTTCCAGTAGCCTCTCACAGCCTTGAATTTTTTCAACTATACTGAGGGATTCAGCAATTTCTCCTGCCTTTGGTTTAGTTACTTGACATAATAGGTAATCCTCTTGCATATATATCAATAATAAAACATAAATCTAGCTCAATGTACTTGTGGGTATCTTTTCCATGTTAAAAGCATTTGGCTCCTACTTTGCAAAAAATCAAAGAAAACTGAAATTGCATCATTTCTCCAATGACAAATATTTTGCTTTATCAATATCAAATTTATGCACCCTGCTCTATTCCCTAGACTCTCTGTATAACCATGTTAACAATCATTTGTTTTAATGCCAAATCACAGTAACCTTTTTGAATCACCTGAATCAATAATTAGACTCAAGATATATATCATCAACAATGCACCTATCTCCACTGAAAAGTTGAAAATATCAGACGGTAATACTTAGTAAATGCATTCACAGGCAATAACAAGTACATCACAACCACTGCCTGGCCGTCAGCAGTTGGTAAGGTGCTGCCCCACCAGCAGGAGTGGTCACAGATCCAGATGGGTAATCAGTTCACAACACCCTTGAGTTCCTAGCTATGCCCTTCCTTAGCTTCACAGTAGGACACAGGACAGGCAATACAGTACATACAGTATCTGTGGTCTCATAGGCAGGCCAGCAACTACTCCTAATGCAGATCTGGCCTTGGCCTTCCTCTACTTTCGGGGGATGCACACAGTTGCTAGAGATGATGTGTATGGTTCAGCTCCAGAGGAGCCACTGCCTTGGTTTCCTGTTGGCCTCCATATTGGTCTAGTCCAGTAGGCCCAAGGCCACATGACCACTCCAAGCTCTCCTAGTCCCAGGGTGGTCCCAGGAATCTAGAGTTTCACAATAAATTGAGACAGATAATTCACCCCAGGTATAGAGCAATCCACAACTGTCTTAACTCCTTATGTTTCCAAGGAAAAGTTGCGGTGAGAACGTAAGTCTGAGGCTTTCTTCTCAGGCAGATCAATGGGAAAATGTTTCTGACTCTCAGGTACCATTGACTGCAAAACACACCCTGGTTCCAGGGGCATTAAAATGGGCAAGAGTACATCCCAGAAAAACCGAAATGCTGCTTTCACATTTAACACTTTAATTGCCAAGCTGGGTGTCTCAACTGAAATGGGGATATCATCTTAATGGGCAATTTGAGGGAATGGTCTCTGGTGTTGCTTTTCAGCTATCAGATAGAATTGTGAGCCTGTGACTTTAATGTGTGTGAGCTGTTGGACTTTTATAATGGTCATTGGAGGACTATGAGACCACAGGAGGCACACGTAAGCCCTGGGAACTCCAGGAGCAGAGCCTCTGGGTTGTCTGTACACTTGGGTACAGGCTGGGGCAGACCACACTGTGCCCGAAAGGCTCTGTGAACTTCTGAAGTTGCAAAGTAATCAGAGTCCCATTTTTGAGCCCCCCTAGTATAGGCCACGGAGAAGGCAATGGCACCCCACTCCGGTACTCTTGCCTGGAAAATCCCATGGACGGAGGAGCCTGGTGGGCTGCAGTCCATGGGGTCGCTACGAGTCGGACACAACTGAGTGACTTCCCTTTCACGTTTCACTTTCATGCGTTGGAGAAGGAAATGGCAACCCACTCCAGTGTTCTTGCCTGGAGAATCCCAGGGACGGGGGAGCCTGGTGGGCTGCCGACTGTGGGGTCGCACAGTCAGACACGACTGAAGCGACTTAGCAGCAGCAGCAGCAGCAGCAGCATAGGCCAAGTACTTTACATACATTATCTCATTTAATCGGCACAGGAACCCTGTAAGGTTAAGTATTACTCTTCCCATTTTACAGATGATAAAACTCTGCTGGTGAGGATGGTGCTGGGATTAGAAACCCAGGCAGCCTGCTTCAGGATGCAAGCTCTTAGTCACCACGCTCACCACCTCCTACCTATAGTCACCTTGTCTCACATGAGATTCAATGTCATTAATAAAAGATTACTTGACACAAGTAGTAATACTGGACCCCTTTAAAGAACACCCAGGGAATTAAAAAAAAAACACACATTTTTTTAGGCAGTGGGGGAGGATGTGATGGGAAAAGAGAAAGGTTTCCATGATGTAGCTTCAGAAACATATTGTCCTTCTCAAATAAAAACAGGTGACGACACCTCAGTACGTGCCATCTGACAGAGAGTGTGTTATGGAATGAACTGTGTCCTGCCAAATTCACAGGCCAAAGTCCTAGCCCCAAGTACCTCTGAAAATAACAGTATGTGGAGAGAGGTCATTTAAAAAGGTGATTAACATTAAATGAGGTCATTAGGGTAGGTCTTAATCCAGCAGGACTGATGCCTTTACAAAAAGAGAGTAGGACACAGATTTGTATGTAAGATAAGGCAAAGCCACATCTCACACTGAAATCCTCAGAAACCTGGGGTACCAAAAATGGGTATTTCAGAAGTTCATGTGCTGTTAGGTAAATCCATATTAAATTCAAGGTTTTGAAGTTAAAAAAAAAAGTCAAATATGGACAATTTTATTTGTTCATCCTCTGTATACATTTGCAGAAAAGACCTTGAAACCAACAAGTCCTACTAACCCTACTTTACAAATGATACACCTAAAACCCACTCAGATACACTGATTCATCAAAAGCCTGAAAACGTGTTAAAGCAAGAACTGGATGCCAAACCAGAAATTACATTTCTTTTTGTGAACACAAGTAGGCAGAACCTATTAAAAAATACATACTAAATAGTAACCATACTCTTTCATATAACAATTTCACCCCTAGGAATTAATCTACCAGAAATATATGAACAGGTGTACAGAAATATATAAATGTGAAGACCCACAATGCTAGCCCCATATGTGATGTGAAAACTTAGAAATAATCCAAGTGCCGACTCACAGGGAATTGGCTGAATGAACAATGATTCATCCATCTACATGCAAATCTATGCACTATAGTTAAAAAGAAAGAGGTCAGCCTCTGCTCATATTAAAAGATGCCCAAATCATATTAAAAGCAAGAAAAGATACCTAGAAAAATAAGAACACAACTCATAAAGTGTTTATTAATATCTGTGCACTGAGGGGTATAAAGTAGTCAACACTCAGTAGGTACTTTTTTCCCTCCCCACCTCTCCCGTCTTACACATCCCTTGGATTATTGCAAATGAACCCAAGGAGCTGGTCCAGCTCTACTGCCTACCAGCTGGGTGATCTCAGGCAAGAAGCTTCAGTTCCCCCACCAGTAGGTTGAAAGAAATTAGAGCACTTCCTTCAGAAGTTGTTGACTACATGAGACTACGTACATAATGTGCTTAGAACAATGCTTGGTGGGTAGTAAGTGCTTAATAGATAGGCACCATTATGGTAATGATGATGTTATTCATCTCTGGAACCTGAAGAAACAAGGTTTCCTTAATTCATGTTGTATTTACTTTTTTTTTAAATCTCCTTTAAAAAATTATCTTGTAAGAAAACATAATAAATCATGCTGCTTATTTTCCTTACTGAAATTAAATAAAAAGGCAGTGCTTTTTAAGGCAGTGCTTACCTCAATAAACTCTAGCAATATTAGGCATTCTGATATTTAATGAATCCTCTAAAGACAATTTCACTATTTCATTACTGAAGTAATAAACTGCTTTTCTGAGAAGTTAATATTAACAGAGTCATTCCTAGGTAAATAAATTGTTTATCAGGTATAACCCAAGGTGCCTCCATGAAATACGCAGTAGACCCATCCCTCTTTTACTGAAGGATCAGTTTGGGTGTTCTCTACTCACTTAGGTTAACGTGGTGGTTATGGCCAAGGTCTTTCAAATGCACAGAAAGAACCTTTTATGCAACCATAAAAGGTTGCTGCTAAGTCACGTCAGTCTTGTCTGATTCTGTGCGACCCCATAGACGGCAGCCCACCATGCTCCCCTGTCCCTGGGGTTCTCCAGGCAAGAACACTGGAGTGGGTTGCCATTTCCTTCTCCAATGCATGAAAGTGAAAAGTGAAAGGGAAGTCGCTCAGTCGTATCCAACTCTTCGAGACCCCATGGACTGCAGCCCACCAGGCTCCTCCGTCCATGGGATTTTCCAGGCAAGAGTACTAGAGCGGGGTGCCATTGCCTTCTCCTTATGCAACCATACTCTGACTTAAAACAGGACTTTCTATTTGAGGTCCTTCCCAGGGCATTCTAAGTATTAACTAAACCAGCCAGGCTTATTCCCACAGATCTTAAGCCTGAAAGATTTGTGCAGCTCTATAAACAGAATAGAATTAAAATACAGTTCACCCACAGTTCTGATTCTGATCCAGTATTTCTTTGGTCCATGCATGCTCTGTGGAACCAAGTACAATCTAGACTCCAAAGAACCAGTGAGCATGGGAAAGCTACCAAAGCGTGCAAATTACTGTTACAGAAACTCCCAGAATTAAAGGATCTTTTTGAGCCTTTTGTGGTAGCTGAGATGCAGACAGGTTAGGTGTCTTGCCCCAGGCCTCACAGCTGGTACAGGTGGGGCTGGAACTCAGGGAGCAGGCTTCCCAATAGCGATGCTCTTTCCCCTGCTGGAGAATTACTGTTCTTCTGTTTTGCTTCTTGGAAAACTGAGCCAAGTTAAAATAGCTCATTCAAGGTCAGAGGGGCAGTCAAGTAGAACTTGTGATGCTGACCAGCAGATTATACAATCCTAGAGGGCGGGTCCTCTGCCGCTCACCTACCCCCTCGGCCCTGTGTAAATGTTTTGGTTGACACAACACTTGAGTTTAGAGAAAGTGTCTCTTCTAGGTTTGCACTACGTGTTTAACTTCAGGTTCTGGCACACGCGCGCTTCAGTTATTATCGGAGCAGGCACGCCCCCCAGTGTCCCGACCCAGCGGGCCGCCAAGGTTGGGGGCGGGGGCCGGATAGCCACCACTCAACCAGGTGGTCTTGCAGCCCTAGAAACTCGAAACTCGCCCAGAGCAACTCCTCAGCGATGTTTTTCTGGTTTTGCCAATCTGGAGACAGTAAACTGCTGTCAGATCGAGCCGGAAGCAGAATGGTTGGGCACGCCAGTCTTGAGGGTACAGAGGCGCCTGCTGAACGCTGAACACCTCTAGCTAAGCTGTTATAAAGGCTAATGCAAGCCTCGCCTCCCACAACACTCCAGGGACCGTGTCCACTTGATCCCGGGAACTACGTGCACTTTCAGGTGACACTCCCACGCCCACCAGGACCGCCCCCTGCCCAGCCGAAGTTCCGGGAGGCAGTTTCTGCCTTGGTCCAACGCCTCTCCTGCACCGGACCCTTCTCACCCGCACTTTCCTCCAGCCCACAGTGTGAGCCCCTTCTCTGAAGCTACATTCCATCTCCCCCACCGCAGGCTGGTGGTATAAACCTCACGGCCGGTCCAGGTGCCCAGCGAGCGCGGACCCGGGAGCTGGGCGCGCGCGCGCGGGTGGGAGTGGGTCCCCGGATCCTGGAGGGCGCCCTCCACCCAAGCCGAGGGCTGGGGCGGCGGGGACTAGCTTTGCTGGAGGGATGGCAGCTACGCAGCCGCTGGAAGCACTCAGAGGAAGGCAGGGACACCGCATCGCCCAGAGACGGCGTGGGAAACTCGGGGCGCAACAGGAGTCAGCGCCACTGGCCCGACGGCGCTGCGGGTCGGCTCTTGACCAGGGAAAGCGCCACACAGACGCAGACGCACTGCTGGTGGGTGATTGGGATCATTTGGAATTATAAATCGGACGGTTACAGCAGACAATCGAGGTGCGCCCCTCCTGGGAAGGAAGAAGTTGGGCACCAGTACATGGAGAGGCTGGAGAGGGAAGAAGCCCCTCCGGAACTGCAGGGTATCCGAAACGGGTGCAGGGTCAGCTCTGGGCTCGGGATGGTGGGAGGGGGCGGCTGGCCGGACGTGCAGATCCAGCGCTCGGGGCTCACCTGGCCGGCGTTCGGAGGGTCCATGCTGGAGGCAGGCGGCTGCCGGGCGCTCGAGAGGTGCCGGTGGCCCGCACCGCAGCCCCTCACAGAGGGCACAGGGCGGCCGCACCCCGCACTCGGGCCTCCCGCCCCGCGCCAAGGGGCCGGCCCTTCCGAGGGACTCTGGCCGCGAGCCTGAGCCTCTTTGCCTTCACTCCCCAGGCACGCCTGCAGCCGGCGAGTGCCTGGGTCCTAGCGCCCCGCTCGGGTGTGAAGCCTGACTTGGAGCCTGCTCGGCGCGCCCCCCCCCCACCTCTCCCCCCGCAGCGATTCCCGCCACTCGAGGGGAGGTAGGGCTAAGGACCAGTGCTGCCCAACCTGGCGCTTCTCAGGACTGGGAATCTAGACAGGGAGCTTCTTTCTCACCACGCCTACCCTTCCCATTTCATCTCCATGCGCTTCTACTCCCCAAGAAAACACAGAAGGATCAGATTTGCCTCCTTCCTCACTCAAATCCATGTACACTATCATTTTAAAGAGATTCTGTGACAGACAGCAGTCATGACAGATCATAGATGGTTCTTCCTCAAAGTGAAAGGAAGACTTCTGTATTCAAACGAATTTGTAAAGGACACCCCACTATGTGTCTGTTGAGGGGGGGCGGGGGGGGCGGTGACGGGGTGTTGTCCTTCGGCCTTAACTGTGGAGACAACTTACCAACGTGAGTCAAATGTGGATCAAGACAAAGGTCCTGCTCCCCTTCCTGCCTCCTCTCCATCTGTTAGGGAGCTGGAATCAAAGGCCTGCACAGATATGGTGAAGCTTTCAGAGACTTTGAAGAAGTAATGAATCGAGCCCAGTTAAATGCTTCAGCTGTAAATAAGCCTGGCCTCCAGCTCCTGGTTATTATCACATCTGCCCCATACCTGGCTCCTCCGGTGGAGGGATGTCTAACAAAGACCTAGGAAGCATTTACAAAAGCCTCTCCTTTCTCAGCTGCCCACAGGGCTGAGTCAGTCCAGTTAAAACCAAGATCAACAACAGTGATCTTTTCCTGCTGACTTTCTCATCCAGAGAGGCTGATGAAATTTCGAATGGCCCAGGGAAAGGAAAACAAGTCATCTTTAGAAGTAAAACCTATTTCACAGGACATGGAGAGAGACAAAAAGAAGTATTATTACTTGGGCATTAGCCATGATCATAAAGGCCAATCATGAGCCATGAGAGCAGTGTGAATATAGCCTTTAATGTCTTTTTTTAAAGAGCTCAAAACCTTTTCCCTCAAGAGCACTCCTCTCTGTATGGACTGACTCTAAAATGATCTCCAGTTATCCCCACTTCCTAATGTTCATGCCTTTGAGGACTCCCCACCCCTTAAATGTCAGGGAGCTTGTGACTTGCTTCCTATCTGTTAAGTATGGCCAAGGTGATGGGATGTTTTTTCAACGACTATGGTACTGTCTTGACAGGAGATGCCCTCTTCTGCTGGTTTTGATAAAGCAATAGCCATGTTGGGGAGGCCCATGTGGCAAAGAACCGAGGGGCCCTCTGGCCTAGAGCCAGTAAGAAATGAGGCCCTTAGTCCAACAAGCTGCAAAGAACTAGGTCCTGCCAACAACCAGGAAAGCCCAAAAGTGAACCCTCCCTTCTCTGAGCCTTGAGATGAGACTGTATCCTCAGTTAACACAGAGGACCTGTAAACCCATGCTTACCTTCTGACCCACAGAAACTGTGAGATAATATATGTGTGTGTTTAAGCCACTCAACTTGTGGTGGTGTGTTATGTACAACAGCAAAACTAATACACTCCCTCCGTCCACAGATGGAAATGTGAGGCAAAGGAGATTAGATAGAAGAGTTAAGGTCACTGAAATCAGCAGCATAATCTATCATCATTTCACTATCATAGCCTGAATAGACAAGGAAGGGTTTCCTAGGTGGCTCAAGTGGTAAAGAATCTGCCTGGCAATGCAGGAGATGCAGGCAGGAGATGTGGGTTTGATCTCCGGGTTGGGAAGATCCCCTGGAGGAGGAAATGGCAACCCACTGCAGACCTTGCCTGGAAAATCCCATGGAGAGAGGAGCTTGGCAGGCTATAGTCTGTGGGGTCTCAAAGGAGATGGACATAACTTAAAGACTGAGCACATAGACAGGGAAAAGCAGAATAGCTAAGGCATCTGAAGGTGAAAGGGCAAGTTCAGGTTGGGACTTGAAGAGGGGTAAAGCAACACAACTTTGAGAAAGTCTAAGGCAAAAATAACCCAGCAGGTAAAAGGACAGTCTGAAGAACTCAGGGTAAGTCAACCCAAGCAAAACAAACAAATAAATATCTTCAGAAAGTAAAGTAAGAGGAAAACTAGAAAAACAGTAAAAAAGAGATGAGGAAAGGTAAAGGCACCAGATCCTCTGAATCTCTTTTCTCATTATATATTAAAAAAAAAAAACCCCACAAAAAAACCCAAAGCCACATCCTTCACTCCTGGAAGTGTGGGGGATTTTCCAGAAGAGCTGCTTGAGAAGTTCTAGGAGGTCAGTAGCGCACAGTACGGGCTTGTGCCAACCAGCAGGTTGTCTGCTGTTCCCAAGATACTGCATAAAAACAGAAGGTGTCTCAAAACCATCAGCCAGCATTGAGGGTCTGCACGTATTTGTGAGCTTGTCAGTGTCTTTAGATACCTAGTGTTAAAAGTTTTCTATCCCATCTCAGCTATAATACAGAAAAATTGAGGCTAACACTTAACCCTGTGATATACCTTGAAGGGTATTATGGAGTGATGTGTGATTTTTAAAGAGAGGAAGAGAGAGGGAGAAAAAGGAAAGAAAGAAGGGAGGGAGGGAGGGAGGGAGGAGAGGGACAGGGAACTAAAGCAAAGGGAAGGAAATGAAGAAGGGAAAGAAGGGACGAGAACCCAAAGCACAGAGTTCCCAGTCTAGCGGAGGAGCGCTGAGAGATCTATCATAGCATTAGAAAGCACTGTTCTCACACTTCCCGTTGCCTGCGGGACATCTCCACGAAAGTTCCACCCACATTTCACAACAAAAATGTTTCTGAACCAGGAAGCATCCATCTCCCCACCGAATCTGAGTCCCGGTGGTTAATGCCACTAATGCCTCTCCCAATTCAAACCATAGCCATGCGGCTTCCCTCCCTGGCTGTACCAACCGGCCACCTGTGGGGTCATGGCCTGTCCCTCCCTCGGCACCCCTACAGCCAGGAGTGATACACTGCCCGCCTCTCCTAAGCTAGGTGAGCAGCAAGAGCCAACATGGGATGATTTCACTCAGAGGGGTCAGAGTCCAGTCTACCCACTGCTCATGCCCATAATGTCTCCTCCACCCAGATTTTACACAGCTTGTCATTTCCTCTAAGTCGTTTTTTCTTTTTTTTCTTTTCTCTAATTGGTCCAGCATTGCTCTATCCTAAAGTTGAAAACTGTAAATATTTCTACCTGTGGCAACTCTTTGTGCCTTTAAAGCCTTCCTAAGACTGTGGATCTGACACTCCCTTCTACTCTGAAGAGCAATTTAACACAATGCTTACTTAGGAGGAATGCCCATTTATGGGGTAAAAGGAAATGGGCAGCAAATCCAATGGCACCCATTCCACAGCTGTGCCCATAGCTCGATGCGTCCAGCTGTTTCGAATACGGGAGAGCACACAACAGCTTCCGGTTGGTTGTTGGCTGTTGGTTTTTGGTGGCCCCAGACTTGTGATGGGATCTGTTTCAGTTCTATAACCCAACAGGCAGAAAAAGACACTGGGAGAGTAAAAAGCTGTTTTCCTATAGGGAATAAATGGAAGTCTGACCATGCATGAGTGGAAGAGCAGCAGTTACATGTTAATAACAAGACTTTGATTCCACCGAGAAGGCTAAAACAAATGAGACACACCTTTTTGGCTTCTCTGAACATGTCACTGGCCATTCTTTGAAGACTGAAGATGTTGATGGTGCTGACAAGCTGGAATTTATATGATTGCTAAAGTATGAAAGACTAGTACTTTCAAGTGCTGCCTGCATTTGACAACTTCTGGAGAAACTAAGTCCACGGTTTACCTTCAATCGCAATATGTGCATTAAACTCCCATTGTAATTCTTCTAGCCAGTTGGTATACCATTATTCCATTACCACCACCCGTATCCTGAACGAAAGGAATACACAAACAGTAACATGACTGACCTTCTGACAATAGAGGAACAGACTCTGAGAGGTCACTTGGTATCACCTGTGGCCTCTATTACTCTAAATATGTGAGTAGTTTCAGTCTTCCCTAATCATAAGGAAATCTCAGCCTGAATCAAGCAAAGCTCCCCTAAGAAAACACAACCCATCTCCTATATAATTGCAGACCAGACCTTCTTCAACCTGGATCCCTGTTGTCAGAAGGGCTCAAGTCAGAGACAGAGAGGAATAGAAAGTTTTGAGCAAACCTGTATTGTCACATGGACAGGCATTAGCTCTATGGCCTAAAGTTATAGATCTGCAAAGATTAAACATGGACTAGAAAGTTGAGCTTTATCAGTAAAATCTCCCTCATCATTATTTATCAGCAGGAGGCCATAAGCATGAAGTTGCACTTGAATCTGAAGAGAAGCTACTGTGCCAAGTGACTGCCACATATTCCTTTAAGTGTGTTTGAGACCAAACCCCTCCTCCGGTCTTCAATGATTCTTACACCCAGCACTGATGCTTTCAAACTGTGGGGCTAGAGAAGACTCTTGAGAGTTCCTTGGACTGCAAGGAGATCAAACAAGTCAATCCTAAAGGAAATCAATCCTGGACATTTATTGGAAGGACTGATGCTGAAGCTGAAACTCCAATACTTTGGCCACCTGATGCAAAGAAGCAACTCATTGGAAAAGACCCTGATGCTGGGGAATACTGAGAGCAGGAGGAAAAGGGGACAACAGAGGATGAAATGCTTAGATGGCATCATTGACTCGATGGACATGAATCTGAACAAACTCCAGGAGACAGTGAAGGACAAAGAAGGCTGGCATGCTGCAGTCCATGGAGTTGCAAAGAGTCAGACATGACTGAGCAACTGAACAAAAATGGATGTATAAAACACATTGAAAACAAGGTGAATCCATACTGCTTATGTCCTAGTGGAGGAAGAGACAATTACCATGAAAAAATAAAAGAAAGAGACCATTTTAACATGAGCTGAAGATAATAAAACAAATTATTGCAATAGAA